AAATGAGAAGGAATAAAAAAGAGACGAAGTCGGAATTCGACAGTTTCAGAAACGAAGTAGTTCCACAAAGAAAGCACTAGGGAGGAAAAAGCTCAGGTTTGATCAGCGCTAATACCCGTTTGCCTGTGGGGAAACTTGAATAGCCCAAATTATGACAAATTGTCGTGAATACTCTCGATTTGGTGTCAGTATGCTACAAGAAACCTAGCTGTACGATGACGTGGAAGATGCGCTGTTGGCACTTGAAGGATTTACGGCGTAGCGCGTTGTCCACCCATGTATATACAAGCACCGTGGTGGTGGCATCATTACATACATAAATTCGTCATGATGCATGTCGACAAAAATTATCCTTCGTCATGACTCGCAGCGCATTGGCTGTTTAATTGTGAAAGATAAGCCACGATACATGAGCGGCTATCGTTCGGTTCTATTGGCTAATATTTACATTTATCGCTGCTATCCTACAGCAGGGGCTGAAAATGTTATGACGAATCTCCAACAAACGTCACTGTACATCTGGATTTTTCTTACTGCGTTTTTGTTGGTTTCTTCAATCGATACGACACTACTTCCATTACGAATCTCAGACTGAAGAGCATTGTGCAGTCTCTCATTTAGTTGCAGGTAACCCAAGACTTCATGTCTGTCAACAAGTTAAACGTCTTATGTCGGCAACGATTTACCGCCGGGATGCTCAGAGCGTGCCACCATCAAGTTGTCTCTCATTATCTATAATCAAACGAATAACATCCGCTGAAAAGATAGCAAATTAACGCAAAGATAATGACTTCTCCAAAACATCGAGCTACTACGCGGAACTATTGCCTCCAGAGACGTCAATCTACTTTATAACCCTGATTATTTAACTAGCTGTTTGAACTTCTGATTCGAAATTTGTTCTGTGGAAACCATTTTCATCCACTCCGGCAGGTTCTCATCTCGTTGCCTTAAAAATTGCGCAGATTTAAAGAAAAAACTCTCAAGCTGCTCCAGTAATGTTTTTGTCGAATGTCTAAACCATATTTGGAAAAAAATTACGAGAAATATGGAAAATGATGAAGAAGCTGAGTGAACATCCGCAGTGCCACACATACTGCTCTCGATGTGGAAGAATTAAACTGTAAGTTTTGCAGCTAGGAAAAGGCTCCAACCTTACATTTACCATGCGCTCCGATACAATTCTGCTCACAGCCCTCAACATCATCATCAATTTCATCAATACACGTTAGCTGAGGGTGAGAAACGCACCTCAGCTAATGTGCCACAATACAAAATGGATAACACGCTAAAAATTACAAACCACAGTAAAGTTCAATAAGTAAGGAATGTAATGCTAAATATTATATTATACATTTGGAATGAGATCGAGTTGGACGGGAAATCAAAAGGGGAAGGGTGTGGACAAAGAAACTCACAACACAAACGCCATTAGGGCCGGCTCTTCGCCAGATAAGTAAGTATATCCAACCGCCTCTACCACCCATATATAGCGTAACGGTTCGCAAGGAATTAATACGAATACAGTTGTGTAGTGCCCGGTATGGACGGACTACCTCCTATAGTCTTTAAAGAATGTGCCAATGTCTTAGCACAACCATTTTCTAAAGTGTACACCATGTGCTTACATCAACACAATATAGCTGACTGCTGGCAAAGCACCAGCATCACCTGTACCGAAGAAAGGAACCAGTGAGTATCGGCCTATTCCATGTACACCGGTAGGTTTGAAGACATCTGAGCGAATTATTCTGTAAAGAATGTTTGTCCAAACGCACTCAAATGATGCTTTTCAATACGCCTACCGCAATTCAAGGTCCAGTTTGGATACAATAGAGTATCATTTTCACGCCGTACTGTCACTCGATAGTAAACACAAATCCACGCGGATTTGCTTCCTAGGTTTCTGCAATGCGTTCGGTTGTGTAAACCGTGAACTGCTGTTACACGAGTTGCTTGTAAACGGAGTTCAACCTTCATTAGTACTTCTTCTTACAGACTACTTTGTCAACTGTACGCAGTTTACTAGGTTTGAGGGAAATAGCTCTTCTTAATTCCAAGAGAATTCCGGTGTTCTTCAGGGAGCTATTTTGTCCCTGTTTCCACTTTTCACTTACATTAGTTCAATTCCCGTTCCAAGGAACCAACCCCGTTAAAGTATGCTAAGGACGTGATCCCTGGTGTACACAATCACACCATGGAACTATCCGCCAAATTGCAATACGTCTAGGACAAATCCCGCAGTCTTTCACTGAACGCAACAGTGTAAAAAGTTCTTTTCTCGTTGTCCAATGAAAATCGTTAACGGCAACTCTTCACGCACACCCCGGATCTTTGTATTGACAGTTTCAGTCTGAACTCTTGTACGTCAGTAAAATATCTAGGAGTTACACTTAGTCGAGAGCTCACGTGGTCCCATCACGTGAACGAAACATCCACTAATATCAGGGGACTATTGTTCCATTTCTTCCGACTTAGGCCCCCCACCGTGCCTCGTTATTTGATTATACGGTTTATAACCGCTTGCGTATTACCACACTGGACATATTTCCACCGTGGTTTCCACCGAACTTTTAAAAATGCATTTTAAGTGATCAACAGGTGACTGAAGCATCGTTTTCGAGGTAGCAGCATTACAACGATGGAGTTTACTAACGTCATTATATTCAATCACCTTCATTGCTGTGAAAAACTGACGTCTAAGATACTCACTGATGCCAGTCACGAAGGAATGTATCTCGATTTCCCCGACGTGACAAAGGTACAAAGCGAATTATGCTCGCACACGGGCTTACGCTAGGCCAGTTGTTCCCTACTTGCCACATGTTCTGAGGGACCGAAAATGATGGCCAAAGTGATTCGATGACATCAGCTCTGTCATGTTTTCAAATTGCTGACGCACCAAATCCGTTTGTTATACTCATTAATTTTATATGTCATCGGCGTATTCGTTGAGGCGGAATATTCCCTCGTCACTGGTGCTCAAAGCGCATTATTGACTTGACTTGTTACGCGAAAATGGTTATACGGAAGGGTTCGTCCAGCACAACATGTAGCCTAAAAATAAGATCGAACTTTGAGGATGTACTTGAAGATGAGGTTATCTTCAACGCCTTAAAGTTGATACAATTGCTGAGCTTATAACGATAACATTGGCATAGTCCGACGGAGGAAATGCGGTGTATCATCATCATCACAAACCAGCTTATTTTTGTGTACAATAAGGACAGAAGGTCGGAGTTGACCCCCCTTACATAATCTATCGATTTGAGTGCACATGTGGTCCAACCTGTATTGGTCGAACGACAAGTTAACTGTCACGTCCCATTAAGGAACATAGCCCTAAGTGTTTGGTGAACGGGGTCTCCGGAGTTCTGATAAGCGGAATTTTGTCCAACCTGTTCGAATCAGATCACAGGGTTAGCTTCCCGAACGTTTTACGGTGGTTTATCGACTTTCCATGAATAAATCAAAATAGCTGCATTTAAGAGTGCTTGCCACAGCAGAAGCTATCGCAATCCGAATATTCAAAACCAGCTATGCTCGCGAAAGTTTGTTCAATGTCTTGGTATGTTCTGGCTGAAGAGCCGTCAACCTAGCCGTCACTATGACTCGGTTCCGTCCGTGTGAGTACGTAACCAAAAACGATCTGTGTGAACAGAACATTGGCGAACTATTTTATGTTTAATCATTGGCCTACTTATGTCGGAAGAAACTTCTGAACCGTCCATTCCATTGGATTTTAACCTTATTTGATTCGTACAGGTTCGCAGACGAATCATTGAAAGCAATCCTTTGTCTTAGAGTGGTTTGCTCTATGAATCCGTCGTGAATTTCATCGTTATATAACATTTTTACGCATGCTACAACTCTTCGTAAGGAATTCTAAACAAAAGAAAGCTGTTTCACCGTTCTGGCTTTATTTTCGAACAACTAGAACCAATCATGAAGTTCTTCATTACTTTGTATCGCAGATAAGATGTAGTTGCATTGACAATGTGTCCTTGGGCATTCAAATATTCATTCCACCATCTAAGTATTCCCGGCCAATATGATTGTATGGTAATGAAGTAACAGTAAAATATACAGGTGTACTGTGGCTCTTGTGGTCTAAAGATACAGGTCTGCCATCTGCATGACTGCGATTAATCGAAGTAAACTATATTGTGAACTTGGGTGCTGCCCACCCGAAAACACTGCACTCCTAAGGCGAGTTTCAATGTTATTCCATCTCAGTTACGGTCCTCGTGACCGAATGGCCAAGGTTCACTTCAATGAGAATCGCGGTCAACATTGAGATTGCTCGTCGCAATCCATCCGCACAACGTGTACTTCAAAATGCCCTCCAATATATTGTGAACTGTGAGGAGGAGCACCTCTTAAGGATCCATGAACCCTAAATGGACCATAAAGCAATCTTTTCAGGAAATGCAGTAGAATAATCGCATCGAGCAAGCAAAAGAATGTTCTCAGGTAATCTAATGCCATTATTGGCAAGTAAGAAGTAGAAGAGAACAGAGAACCTTTAAGAAGTTCATCTAGAACCCATAAATGACGGTAAATTGCGCCAATGTAAATGCCTTGTGTCTGGTGAATATTAAGCTGGCACTTACGTGATCTTGAGGACTATAACATGAACAAACAAAACCTAGTAATTAAGCCCCGTGGGTGCGCTGTACGGTGGATTTGAAGTGCCTCCTATGTCTCAAGCGTCAGAAGGTATGCACTTGTAGGTATTCCTAGTGTCTAATTTTTGAAATAGGGGGAATATTCATGAAAAGGTGCAAATCGGAGCACTGTATGAGGGAATCTTGGTGAAAATGTGTAAATCTACCCGTAAACACGTGTGAATCGTGTATGCCACGTATTTCGAGATCTCTAATGAGGAGTGAAACGATAAGCTTCAAATAAAAAGCTTGGGTCCTGAAGAATAAATTTCACATGTTGAAACACGATATCGCTATGAGAGACTTGCGCAACCAGGAACAAGCGCAACTCACCCTTTAGTTGGGCCTTGCTCCACGTCTCCAAATCATTTTCATCCTCCTGCCACGCGCTGACAAACATACCTGGGTTGTCACGTTTGGCTTTCATAACCTGGAATAGATTCAAATAACGACAGCGTTCAAGACCCGGGGACACTTGTGGTAATATATGAATCCGTAGTATGATGTTGCAGCGGCTTTCGCTGGAATCACAAAACACGTTTATCACACTGTATTGATAAATGAATGTGCTATTATGTGGCGATAAAAAAAACATGAATATACTCATCTGACTATAGTCAGATTGCCGGAAAGAATGATTTCTCCCTGACTAAGTAACCAACGGCGTGGCATTGGGTGGATCCAACATCCAAATGATCATATAGTAACCACCTAGACATTCGTCGTGGCCTTCTCGATGAAACAACAGGAATGCATATTGGGTGATGGAAGCGGTCCCAGCTGCGGTGACTACATATCCACAGCTAGATCTAAGCTGGGGCCAGCCATACGAGATCAGCTTTATCTATTTCTCAAAAGTTGTGCACTGTGCACCACACTTAACGGTAAATGAACATTGGCGGGTGTGCAACTTGCTGACCAGGTGCTGTCTGGCTTGAGTTAGGCGGATAACCAGCAAAGCAAGAGTGATGCTGTAGTAATGTCCGAAACAAACAGTGACGCTCGTGCTCCGTAACAGTCGCTGCAGTTGCATTGCATGGCTATCACTGGTTTCGACCGCCGAGGTGGAGGACGTTGAGACCGTATTCGCGTGGTCTCTAACGATTGGTCTGGTCAGTGTGAATGACTCTGAAAGCAATCGGAAAGAGCCACAAAGCGCCGTTCAGAGCAACATGGGTTGCGCGAACCATCGCGAGATGCTATGGTAGAATATCATCGTACGAATCCGGTCGAGTGAAAATAGTTTATTCTGCTCACATAAACTTGTACTTTCGACCGCATGGAGGACCACGGATACGCAGAGGTGTTAGGAAGCAAATTAGAAACAAAGTTTCAAGGAACAAGGGGTGTAAAAAAGAAATTTTCAATTGTTGCTAATGTTCTCGAGATTTCTAGCACCGGTTATCCACAAAGCAGGAATTCTGTTGCGCGGTTTGAACAACGCAACGGCAATACAGATTGGAAAGTTGCAATGATCTATACGTATTAGCACTCCGATGAAATCGGCAAGTGGACAGTGCCATTTGTTGATGGAAAAACATGACGACCACAATTCGTCCCATTCAGCTGCATAGGTGGGTCGGAATCGTTACGCAACTCACCAGTCGCAGTGATAACGTACCTCATCAATGTCGAATGGCAGGCCATCCGGTTCCTCTTCGGACTGTGAGCTCATCCTGGCTGAAACAGAAACGCTTATAAACAGAATGAAAAATAGAGAACAGTATCAGTCTGTAGGGCAAATAAAATTTTTAAAACACCCTGTGGGGCTCATGTGGCAATACACAGGTCACTAGACTTGATATTCCGGAACTCTACAGTATATCAAACCCGAGTCTGTAAATAAAACTCTTGAATTTGATGCAATCAGTTAAATTGCATTCTAAAAGATTGAAGTATTCATAAAATAGTACGAATAAAATACGGGGTAATATTTTACGAAAACACTGGTCTGTAGTCAGATGTTGTTACAGTTTTACTAGGTACAAGGGGCTAATAAAAAGGTTGGTTACATACAGATGATTTTCTAATACGTAGAAAAGCCGAGGTTATCAATAAATTTGAAAAACAATCTTCAATATATACCGATGAACAATTAGTTATCTAACAAAGAACTAAAGGGATGCGGTGTCCCAGATTTACAAAGATTTATCGGAACAAGTAGTCGACAGCAACGCAGTATGATATCGCTGCGCTGGTAGTTTCTTTTCAAGAAACAGTGGGCACTTTAGCTTGGTCCGATCAATTTGCAATAATATAAAAACGATAACGGCTGGGAACAACAAACAGAAAATTACTCACTGAAGACCCGCTACAAAAGCACTTAAGTCAGCATCATCATCATTACACATTAGGTGAATGTGAGAAACATTTTAACTATTGTGCCGCAACACAAAAAGATATGATATACGAAAAAGTGAGATACCAGACAGTATAAAATATAAAAATGATAACAAACTGCTTGGTAACATATTACGGTATGAGATGATTCTATGATCGTGATTAGAGGGGAAAGACAAGCGGGTGGAGAGGGACAAAGATACTCACAACACAAACGCCACAGAGGTCGGCTCTTAGCCATGTCAACAAGTGTATCAAGCCAGACGTGTTCATCATCATTCGGACCCCAGCCCAGCAGTCAGGAGAGCAACCGACGCCAACTTCGTAGTAAGGGTCTTCATTCCTCTTGACCAAGTAATCGCTTGGCCTCTCGTCATATTCTTTCATCCACACACCCCGGTAAGTAAACGATACACGAGGCGAGAGTCGGTGGGCTGGCATGTGCAACATGTGACCTAGTCAACAGAGCTAGATGCGTGAAATAACGATGTCGGGCGGTCCACTCGCTCTTCGTGCAGCAAATACACGACACCAAACACGGTCATTGTTCACGCAATGCTCCCAAGAAACATGAGCCAAACTGCGAAAACATTGATGGTCGAACGTAACACGTCTATCGACGTGATGGGACAGATTTCGCAACCGTACAGGATGGTTGAATGCATGGCTGTGTCAGAAACTTTGCCCTTCAGAGCGAGAGTGAAGTTGCGCCGGCGCCACAGGTGGCAGAGATTAGCAAAAACGCCTCTAGCTTTTGCTAGGCGGTTTGTAACCCACTGGCACTCATATAGCTGCCCAAATACTTAAATTGTTTGAAAACTTTAAGTCGATCACCACCAAGGATTAGTGCAGGGGTTGGTCCTTGCCAATATAGGAAAAGGACTTTGTATTTTGATGGTGCAAAGCACAACCCGAAACGACTGACAACCGATGCTAATCTGTCTAGTGCTACTTGGAACGTTTGGGAGCTGTCACAAGTAAGGACAATATCGTCAGCGCACTCCAGGGCTTCAATCGGCAGCGATTGTCAAAAGAAAATAACGAAACGCATGGATTTATTACAGGTCCAAAGATGAGGCTTAGCGACAACTGAGAGCGACATTTCTTTCATATCACCGAAGAAAGGCGTAGCAGAGTAACGATAAGAAGTAGTGAAGATGAAATGAAGATAAGGAGGATGCAAACCAAGATATTAACAATGTGGTGAAAGCTAAAATGGCATCAACAATACCCTGCCACGCGATCCCCAACAGTCGCGCGTTGGGATTACGCGAAGTTGCCCTCAGCAAATTGGAACCGGTGGAATTTGGTTTACCATACAGAAGCCTTTGTCATACATCACCAACAACAACAGTACATCAGTCATTTGAACTGATGCTTCGCTGCCATACAACCATGATAACCTACGGAATAAAAAAAATAATTAAAGAATAAGGAATAAAAGAACAACTTCGCTGAAGACCATCATGCCCTAAGCAAACATTCAGGATCAAGGCGCCTACACCTTGTGTAGACAACATACCGTCACAAACAGCTGGCTATCGTGCAAAGATAAGGCGGCATCGGCGAGACAGCTTCCTTGCGGCTTTCACTGCCACGCGTCATATCAGCCATTACCCCGCAGATAACTCAGCACCAAATACACTTTAAACAGGCAATCCGACTAGGAGACTGCAGCAGATGCGCCACTGGTGTCGGTTGCGAGCCATGTCCTGTAAAGTCTCGAGCCAAGCACAAGACGAGTCACGTGACCTTCAGCCTGGAAGGCGAGACGGACCGACGGCATCCAGTTTGGTCGTCAATGACTTCATTTCCCGCTGCCAAGTCAAGTTTTGTCCACCCCGCGTCTTGCGCCAACTTACACCTAGCAGACTAAACAAGGCCCTTCTAGGTAAGCGGTGACTTGACATACGTAGCACGTGCCCAAGCCAACGCAACTTATTCAGTGCTATCTGTTGTTCTAGGGAGCTAGCATGATTATCACTACCTAGTACTCGCCTACGCCCATCATCGTTGCGGGCACGCTGGTGCAATCCGACACCAGCAATGCTTCGCAAACAACGATGATCAAAGACTTGTAGACGCCTCAGATCTTCAGACCGAAGGGGCCAAGTCTCACTACCATAGAGCTGAACGGCCCTCACTGTGGCCTTGTATACACGGCCTTTCAGACGGAGGGAAACTCCCTTCTGTCGCCAAAGACGCCGCAGGTTCAAGAAGGTAGTTATGGCTTTTGCAATGCGTGAACTGAATCTAGTTTCTATGTGCCCATCGTTGCTGATGCAGTTGCCAAGGTAAATGAATCGATCCACCAGCTCGAGTTCCGCGTTATCAAGAGTCAAGGGGTCATCAAAGAGCTGGTGGTCCAGCAGCAACACTTTGCACTTTGAAGATGCGAAGCACATACCAAATGATGGAACCACTCTAGACAGGCTATTCAGGGTTGACTGGGAAGCCTCTACATCACCAAAAAGCAAGACGATATCGTCCGCATAATCTAGATCAACTAACCTTTCACCAGGCAGCAAATCAACGCCTACATCGTGAGATCCATGATAGAGTCCACGACGAAATTGAACAAAAATGGGGAAATCGGACAACCCTGACGAACGCCACTAGTAATTGGAAATATATCCGACTGGTCACCATATACCCTGACGCGGCCGGTAGTATTCGAGTATAGAGCACGTAGGATGGTCACATATTTCGTGGGAACACCTTTCCGCGCAAGTATTTCGAACAGAATCGATCGATCGACTGAATCGAACGCATTCCTGAAATCAAGGAACACAGCTATTGTTGGTCTGCGGTATGCGTGGCGCTGCTCAAACACCAGTCGCAGAGTGAATATATGGTCTATACAGCCACGTCCCGGGCGGAAACCTACCTAATCTTCAATAACCCGAAATTCCCGTTTTACAGTGAAGCGATGAACGAGAATCGGGGACAGTAATTTTGTCACAATTGGCGCTAGACTAATACCGCCGGGGTTAGCACAGTTTGTGCGACTGCCCTTATTGTATACAGCCACTAGAATCGATTCACTCCAGTTGGCCGGGACACTTCATTCCAGATAGGTTCGAATAGGGAGACAAGTACTTTGCAGAGGACCTCACCTTCATCCTAAATAGTGCAGGTGGGAGGGAATCTGGGCCAGGGGCACGAAAAGGATTAAAGGTTGTGATCGCGTTTTGGACCTCGGCCTCCGATGGAGGCTCTAAACTAACCGTTCATGACTCGTCCTGCATCACCTGAGTAGGCAGAGGTCCGGGAGCAGCGGGCCAACTGAACTGATCTTGAAAGTGTGCCGCCCAACGAGCCATCCGGCGCTCGTTATTGTGCATCAGTGCACTCACGCTGTCTCTGATTGTCTCACTGACGCCTGGTTTCTTGGGACCAGTGACGCGGATCAGCTGGAAGAGCTTGCGCTAACTGCCTACTGCTACTGCCCCCTACATTTCCTGAGTGAGACTGGTCCACCAAGCTTCCTTGTCAGCATGCAGGCTCCGCTTTAGTTCGCGCCTAATAGTCCGTCTAGTCACATTGTGCTCAGAGCCAACCGGTGGTTTCTTCTGGATCACAACAGGTTCACCGACCTTTCGGATATCTAGTAACTGGTGCGGTGACGATTAATAGTGGCAAAATCAGAGGCTCCTGCGTCGTACATGGCGGCCACTGAAGCTCAGTGTCATTAGGGCAAGACAGCGAAAGTTCCGTACGCAGCGCGTCTTGATAGGCTTGCCTGACCGAGGGCTGAGACAATTTCTCAGTTGCCAATTGGGGGAGACACTTTGTGCGCCCGCCGGTAAAGTTCATGGAAGAATGACAGCGTACTAAGGAATGATCAGAGTCGACGCAGGTATACCAGTACGAGCGGCAATCTAGGGTGGAACCATCACTGGCCATCTACAGAAGGATGCCAAGTGGCACTTCTGCGCCCACCGTTTCTAAAAGCAGGACTACTAAGAGACAACTGGTGCCCCGCACACAGTTGCAGCAGACACTCACCATTGTCAGTGCGGAGTGAAACCCAAAATTACCACCCAAAAAAGTTTCTGAAGAGAGCAGACCTCCTAATGTGCGTTCATATTCCCTGGAAGTATTATAATATCTGAACAAGTAGCGCGTTCACTTCATGATAGAATGTGTCATTGAAAGCATTAGAACCGCAGTCGGTTGGAGCAACAGCGGAAATCACAAAGTGTTTGTACCACGTCGTGAATCAACCTTGGTCGATGTCGTCAAACGAGCCGCACACAAACGGCTGTTCACAAGAGTCCAAGCAATCAACGATGGCTCAGTCTTGGAGTTTAGAATGATATCTACCCCAGCTTGACATGTGAGTGCTGCATCAGCGTCTTCGGATGCGTGCAACCAATAGCGAGAGGATAAGCCGGGCGCAGTTAATTCAACAACCCAATTAGGGTCAATGATCCTAGTTTCGGACACACAACATACGTCAATACCCAGTGTGTCCAACGTACGTGCGACTGCAGCCTGTTGACCTGTTTGTCTTAGAGTGCGAACGTTGAACGCCG